TCCAAAATGTAATTATGTGATTTGCATGATATGCTTTGTCAAAGTTAAGATGTGATGAAGATCTTCATATATATATATATATATGTTTTTTTTCCCTTAGTGTTTAGAGATGTTTCTTGTGGTTTCTTGTACAAGGATGTATTGTATGTATCATGACCATCACCTCTCAATAGATTGGCTGAAAGAAATAAGTTTTACCATTATCTCATTGTTATTTTTAAAAAATAATTAGCAATGTTCCTGTCTTCACACAAAGTTGGTAGACGCTTCGTGAATTAGTGATTTCATCGAGGTGTGTCTAAATTCATTCTTACATTTTTGATTGTTGAACAAAAAAAAAAAAGAATTATGTTATTTATCATTTTATTTGTGTACCTTACAAAAATAAAAGATTAATATTTTAACTAAAATGATTAATTAACATAGCTTTATTGCTGCAATATTGATTACAAACTTCAATATTACAAATGAGATTCATTCTTATATGAATGATAGCACTTGACTAGATTCAGCTGATTCAATGATTCAAGCTACAATCTTTTAATAAATATTTATCAAAAAATTATTAAAAAAAAAATCAAGTGACATAGAAAATAATAAAATATAAAAAGTAGCGTTAAAAGTGTCTGATCCATGCCCCTAGCCCGATGCTTGCGTTCTCTCTAGTGGTGTCTGGTGAACATCGAATATTTTTTTCATTAGTATGATTAACTTTATAGATGAAAATTTCTAAATACCCAATTAAGTATTGTTGGATATCTTATTTATTAAAATTAAATGGTTTTTTTTTTATTTTTTTGAGCCATAATATTAGTCTAAAGTTGTAATGAGATTAGCACCATTACATTATAGATAAATGTTATGTCAGAAAAAAAAACTAAAACTTTTACCCAAAAAAAAAAGGAGAGAGAGAAAATGATGTAATACCTTAATAGTTAAACCATCTCCAATGTAGATCGAAATCCTTACCCAAATTTGAGTAAAAAAATAGGTAAAAAGACTGATTTAATATAAAACACTTGAATGGAGAAACTCAAAGTTAAAGGCGGACAAACCCAAATTTAAAGGAAGATAAAGTATGACTATTGAATCTTTAAAGGATAATAAAATATAACCATTGGTGATTTGAATAAAAGTTTGAGTCTTCCTTAATTTGGTATGAGTTTGGGTATAACATTGGAGAAGGTTTTCAAGATTATTTTTATCCAAATTTAAATTTGAGTATACTTTGACTCCATGACCACGGCCTTTAACACCCTAATTTCACATTTAGAGGTATTATCTAACTATGGATCATCTAACCATAAGAGTGTACTAACGTACTATTAAATAAATAAAAAGCATTCAACACCCAATAACTAGCTAGATAAATCCCAAATTAAAAAAAAAACACAAACAAATCCTTTGGTTTACATCCAAAAATCAAAATAATAATTCTTTCAACTAAGTAATGAACAAATATTTCAAAATCAGTATCCTCCCTTTCTGTTGTTTGTCATTCACATCATTAATTTCACTAGTTTACCTGCAAAAAAAGAGAGAAGACAGATGAACATAGAATTATGTGTGTGTGTGTGTGTGTGAGAGAGAGAGAGAGAGAGAGAGAAAGGGGAGGAGGACCGAATTTTGGTGATTAGGTGTAGATTTAGGGTACGTGGTGGAGAGTTCAAAAATTAAAATTTCCAAATAGCATAAAAAATTTTGGAGATCAATATGGTATGTCAGATTGAAAATTGTGAGATGATTTGAGACTTAAATAACTTGAAATGGATTAGGATAACGTCCGTCGGATGATGCCTTATTTAATCATGAAACGATCTCAACCGGTTTTTACTTTTAGATTTAAATTTAGTTCTATTTTATTATATAGATGTAAAATGTGGCTCAATCAAGACTCTGGCTGCATAAGAACTAATTAAAATTTTAATCTGTTATATTTATTAAATTAATTATGAGTTTTAATATTAAGTTTAAGCCAACTTTTAATTTTAATAATTATAATTATTAAAATTATATCTCAAAAACATTTTCCTTGTTGCAAACAAGTTTCCAGTACATGGGTTCACCAGTAGAGCTATATAGGGCCCCAAAGCCCACTCACAATTTCTTTGAAAAATTATATGTATGGGTGTACACATGTATTTTACACCTTGTGTTTGGTTTAAATATTAGGAATGACGGGATTTTATAATATTGTCCATTCCTTATCTATTCATCCGACCCTTGGACTAATTATAGTGATAATTTTTCCTCATCTCATGTTTGGTTTAAGTATTAAGAAATAGTGGACCTCATATTTATTCTATTAATATTTTGTTTGAATGGAGTAGTGAATGATGGTATAAATATTAAAATACTAAAAAACTCTCAAGATAAAGATTAATATTTATATTCTAGAAATACTTGAAGGTAACAATGTCTTCTGACACTACAAGAAAAATGGGTTTTTACGGTGGTAAAGTGCTGTCATAAAAAGTCTATTTGTCGTCACAAATACTTTTTGTGGTGACATTGTAGCGGCATTGCCTCGTCATAATAAGTGTGGTCTCAAAAAATTTTTACGGCAGTAACGGTCTGTCTCAAATAGTATTTACGGCGGTAAAATCCTATCGTAAATAAGTTGTCACAAAAAATCCGACACTTTTGTTTTTATCACGACGACAAAAGTGTTGTATCAAATACCATATTTGACTATTGTAAAAAATAGAAGATATATTTATGACGGCAACGATGCTGCCACAAAAAAAAAAACAAACAATTTTTTTTTAATTATTATGGATCGTTCGTAACCAATATTATATAATTTGTGCATATATATACTCTACAAATTTTTCTTTTTTTTTTGGTGGAAAAGGGGGAAGGGGATTTGAACCCTTGACCTCAAGAAGACAAAGCTTTCACAAAGACCAAATACTCATTCGTATCTATACAACTATCCAATTTAATATATAGATAAACACAAAAGTAAATATAATCAACATTTCCAAAAGTATAGCAATATTTTCATATTCAAAATAAACAATCTCAGGAGTTAAACAAAATGTAAAATATGCATTTTTATAAAACATAACGATCTATGAGTACAAGAAATTAATGCAAAAAGTTGAACATCATTTCCGAACCATCTACTCTCTCAGTGACATCTGAAAAAAAATATAAAATTATTGTTACAATATTGAAATAATATTTATATACATATATATAATAAAAAACTAAAAGAAGTTAGAATATACATCAACAGAGAGCCACACAATATTTCTTTGAAAGGTTTGTCTAATTATGTAAATGATATATAAACGAGTTATATCGTATACACTTCTTCTAACTGGTTTCATCAATACCTGGTTCATTTATAATCGTATCATGACGAGTCCACTCGTTTACTAAACAGGTGGCTTAAGGAAGACTCAAACCCACTAATTTTATGTCATGTTAACGGGTCGTGTCATATTTTGACACTCTTTGTTTTAATATAAAAACTTGATTTTATAGAGTTTAATTTTTTTTCTTTGAACTAGAAATTTCTTTTTAATGTTAAACTACGTAATTTTATAAAATATTACCTGTAACATAAAATATAATTGTGGCCAATACAAATTTTTTTTAGAGTTTTTCTTCTTTGAACTATAAAATATTTTTTTAATCTAAAACAACATTTTAATGTTTTATGAAATATTATATACGACGGGAAAAGTAGCTGCCATAAATATAAAAAATTCTTATGAATTTATAAAATATTATTTGAGACAAGAAAAACAGTTGTCTCAAATACAAAAAATTTCTTTTGCGTTTATGACACTATTTACGGTAGAAAAAATAGCTGCCACAAATATTAACACAAACACGCTTTTTGTGACGGCAAACACAACCGTCACAAAAAATTGTCTCAAATACGTTTTTTGTGACGACAAACACAGTCGCCGTAAAAAATTTGTCACAAAAGACCTTTATTCTTGCAGTGTGACCAAATACATCCCAATTAGACTATTTAAACCCACCAAAAAGTTGGAAATATGTGACCAAATACATCCCAATTAGACTATTTAAACCCACCAAAAAGTTGGGAATATTTAAGAGGTTGTATTTAGTATTAAATATACTATTCATCCGAGCCGATATTATTTTTAGGTGATAATTCCAAGCCCAAAATATGTATCCAAACATGGGTATAACATGGATAAGGTGGGCTCACTGTTTAGTCTCTTTTATTATGTGATAATTTTTTTAAATTGATTTTAATTTAAACGTAAAAGTACTTACAATTGGCTTACAAATAAATTTTATCTTCTGTGAGATGTCGTCTCGATTTTTCGAGTATTGCTTGTTGGCTTTAAAGTTAGTACTTTGCTTAGGCCTAACATTTTTGTTTGTTGGTTTTTCTATTTTAATATCTTAGTGAAAATATTTGAGAATAGATTAAAAAATTGAAGATTGTGAAAATTCGATTATATAACTTGTTGGGTGTTCAATGAATGATTGATAGCTTTTTAATTATCAAATGAAAACAAGCCCTATTTATTGGTTTGCTTATATATACTATATTTATTTCTTTGCTTATATATATACTATATTTATTGGTTTTCAAACTTTTTAAATAGATTTTTATATATGTAATATTTTACTTATTGTCAATTAGGAGAAAAAAGAATTAGATTATGGTTCTACCCTACTTCGGTTACTAAAGCTTGGTGATGGCTTTGAGTCATGGAGGTCATACATTTAGGCAATTCTAAACAAAATTGTGAAACCTGATAGTGTAAAAGACTGAAAAACACGTTTAAGAATGTGTTGTTGTGAGTAATGAATTGAGGGCATGATAACGAAAACACGAAGATAATAGTGACTCATCTTATTGAAGAGGATGAGAAATTCACTATTAAAGAGTGACACTTACTCTTAGGGGTGCGTGTTTTTACTCAATCAAGAAAATATTGGGGGAATCTTAGCAATCAAGAAACTTAGGCCAAAGGCATGGTAGAGCTTCTAGATGACTTAGCTTCATGCCTACGGTAGGCTTTCTCGAGAGGTTCCTCCTTTGCTTCGTGCCCAAGGTAGGCTTTCTCGAGAGGTTCCTCCTTTGTTCATTTAGGTAAAATCAATTCACATGGTGGAAAAAGTTGGGAGAATCTTGGCATTTTGAGAAACTAAAGCCAAAGGCATGGCGGAGCTTCTAGATGACTTAGCTTCGTGCCCACGGTATGTTTTCTAGGGAGGTTCCTCCTTTGTTCATTTAGGTAATTTTCGTGTTAAACAACATTCCTGAACTTGCCAAAAAAAAAAGAAAGAAAGATATATATCTATAGGAAATCAGTGAATAAAAAAACATTGATGGGGAAACAAGTTTGTATCCAAAGTCTTTTTTGCTACACGGCAACAGAGGCAAAGGAATATAGGAGTAATTGTTAGGTTGAAAATAGAATTTCATTTAATCCTGAAACTCACAATAAATTATACTTTATTACCTAACACCAACAAGATTAGCAACCACCATTATCCTCTCACTTTCATTAGGTAGTACTTCTATAATTTAACCAATTTTATACAATATTGCGACATATAGATATTAGACCACAATAAGCAGAGTTGAAGTTTTGAGGTGAGTTTAATAATTATAAACTATTCTACGTCATTAATTTATTTTAGCATATGTATATACAAGGCCACCAGCAATCTTTTTAGATTGGATGGGCTGATGGGAAATCCAGGAAAATAAAAAAGTAAAAAGGATCCTTCGGTTATTAATATCTTCTTGTTGCAACTTTCAAAACCGTACCATCTCTCCAGATCTCTCTCTCTCTCTCTATCTCTCTCACACACACACACACAAAAGAAGATGGACCTTCAACATTTCAACCATGACCATCCACTGAATTTTGAGGATGTGCAAAAGAACGAAGGTACGGATGTTATGTGCTATGGGTGTAAAAAACCAATCTTAGACCATGCGTATTGTTGTAAAGAGTGTGATTACTTCCTACATAAGAGTTGTGCAGAACTTAACCGGGAAATTGAAGACCCCACACACCCGAACACCGTTTATTAATGAATTTTGAGGATGCAGGAAAAAGTTCAACAATATGTGATGTTTGTAAGCAAAGTTGGGATCGGTTCACCTATTATTGTTACAAGTGTGACTTTGATATCTGCATGCCGTGTTTCTTGGAGGAGCGCGTGATTAAACTTGCAATTCACCAGCACCCATTAGGCGTCCTACTTAGGCCATCCTTGTTCACTTGTGATATTTGTTACGTGGAAGATAAAGACTCATCTTATCTATGTCACAGCTGTCAATTTTGGATCCATAAAAGTTGCGCCTCACTACCTTACACCATCAAGATTAATGATCACCATCATCCTCTCAGTTTAACCAAGCAGTATCTATATAATATTACCAATTTTAAACAGGATTGCAACAAATGTGACAAGTTCCTTTGGGCAACTTCTTCAGTTTACTGTTGTGGCCCCTGTAGATATTTTGTCCATGTAAAGTGCGCAACATCAGAGGCAGGGTCGTCAAGGTGAGTTTAATCATTTTGTCTTGTTTGTGTTCTCTCCCCTCCCTTCTCTCTGCCTCTCCATCCCCCTTAACAAAATCCTTCCAATGCTTTTAATTCTTGTCAACTAATACTTTTGCTTCTAATTTTGTAATTTCAGAGGTGCTGAAATAAGTAGCAGTAATAAAGATGACGAACTTCTTGAGTCTAATCCGGTAAATTTACCGGTGAATGATGAATTCGTAGATATGGCTAGATATTTTGTTAATGATATCAACATTAACGAGTTTGAGAAAGAAACAGAGATTAATAATTGGAGCCATGAGCATCCGTTACTTCTTTTCGATGTGCAAAATATCAATGAGGTGAAGGATGATAAAATCTTATGTAATGCTTGTGTGCAACCTATCTCCCTTCCATTTTACGGCTGTCGTCAATGCAATTACTTTGTGCACTTAGGTTGTGCCCACTTACCACAGGAGGTTCAACACCCAAGTCACCCTGAACACTTGCTTGAGCTTGGGAGATCCAGTAACATCTATTCGGGCAACTTGTGTCACTGTTGCAACATGGATAGCAATGGATTATTCTACTGGTGTCAAACTTGTGAATTCCCTGTTGATATCAAATGTGCTTTTCTACCTAGCACTATCAAACATGAATCTCACAAGCACCCCCTAGTTCAAACTGAAGGTTCACATCATGTTTGCAAGTCATGTGATTACAAGTCCTCAAGCTTCATATTCAGATGTGATACTTGCAACTTCAATCTGGACTACAATTGTGCCTTGTTACCAAAAACTGTCAAGCACAGGTGGGATCGGCATCCCTTATCCTAACCTATCATCCTCCCAATGATCATCCCGACGAATTTTATTGTGAATTTTGCGAGGAAGAAATAAACCCACAATATTGGATGTACTATTGTCATCATTGCGACCAATCTTTTCATGTTAGATGCATTTATGACAAATTCTCAAAAATCAAGTTTGGAGGCACCCTACAAATTGATGATCACCCACACCCTCTGATGTTTGTCCGAAAGATGAAAGAGTTCACGTGTTGCAGCTGTGGTAAACCTTCTAATTATGAATCCTTATTGGAATGTCGTGAATGTAATTATACCATATGCTTAGATTGTGTTGATTGATACAATTCATTAAATTCTACTTTTTTGTTGTTGCACATCCTAGACTATAATTAGTTGGAGCATTTCTGTAATTGTATAGATTCATATGGAGTTACTGCTTGACATGAAAGAATAGAATGAACTGTCCCCAATTAGTATAATTGATTGTTAATTCCTCTTCAGTATGAAAGCGAATATAGAGAAGCTTTTGAAGTTCATCTTGAATTCACTACAGAACAAACTACAAATCACAACCAGCCTTGATCCAGCTCAAAACCCCTAATTAATGTTCCAATTCATCAGCCAACATGTCTATAATTTGACCGCTGAAAAACTAAGGACGAAAATGGGACCAATATCAAAACTTTTTGCATGAAAATTTTATAAATGTATTTATACCACATACCCCATGGATCAGATTGTATCATATACATACTATTACTTAACTTGGTAAATTCGGACCAATATGAACTCTTGATACAAGACCAGATCACATAACTCAACTAGATACAATATTTCAATCAAATTTTACTCCTAATATCGGAATCAGACTTGACTTAGAAGTCTTGGTTTGAAGAACATTAAACCCAAAATCTTCTCAAGTATTATTTCGCACTACTCTTTACAAACTCAACGAATGTCATCGGCAATCTAGAGCAATCTGGATTCGAACAAGCTACCTAACTTGAAAGACATCTGGATTCGATCTTCATCAATGCTAGTTGCTCTCTTTTGCTCCTTTACTTGAGTAAACTACTAGGGAAGACTTTAAAAAGTGTTTTTTTTATAAAAATTATGACTCATCATAAGCACTTCAAATAATTTTTTTTTTTTTTTTAAATATTAGGTCGACTAATGCAAGGTAATTTTGATTACGCCTTATTTGTATATTCACCACCACCACTATCATTTTCGCCATCCCATTACCATTGCTTTCATTGCTAATACCTGCACCACCCCCGCCTCCATAATAACCCTTAATTACTATAATTGTTACTGCTACCACCACCAACAACACTCATACTGTTGCTGCAGCCATGGTCGCCATCTCCTCCCACCACCCCTACATTGACAATTGCTGGTTCAACCCTCAGTGTCCCAACCATGCACCCTCTAGCAATCACCATTGTCACCACCACAATGTCCCCACCATTCCCACACCAACGCAACCACCACCATTACCTCCACCTCCATGATTGTCATCGCGACTGTCCCCACCACCACTAACATGTAGGTGTTACCAAGTCAAGATGTATATATTATTAAGTAAAAATTGAAATCAAGTATAATATGACAATCTTTTTTGACAATAGTTCCAGACGCAATTTTATTGGGTCATTAAGGACACGTGATGTACTTTATTTGGTAAGTAGATCCATATGACTCTTTCCCTTTTTTTAATTTCCTTTTTTGATCTAAACTGAAAAACATATTTTGCTGCTATAATTATCTGAGTGTCCAATTGAAAATATGTCTTTTTTCTCTCCTCCCTCTTTCGTCCTATTATCTCTCACATATCTCCTCTTTATACACACACGTACAATTAGAGTAATAGTAATAATCACACAATTACAGTCTCAATGACAGAGTGATTGTGACACAACTACAATAACACAGTGACAACCTTAATATCACACTAACGTTAACACATCGACACATTCACATTGGCAAAACGATAGCCACAATAACACTACTATATATAACAACATTTTACTACAATATATGTGATATTCACAGTGACAATCACAATGATGACCATAGTAACACATCCAGAGTGACACAACGACAGATAAAATGACATAACTATTGTGTATAATAATTTTTACTATGATATAACAACTATTGGATATACATAGTCAGGGGCGAAGCCAGAACTTTTGTCTAGGGTTGGTATTTTACTAAATTTTTTTTTTCTTCTAATCAATAAAAATAAAATAATAAATTCAAATTTACTATATTGTATTCGATATTTAAAAATTCATAAAATATGAAAAGGGTGAAACTCTGATAAATATAGCATATATAAATAAAAATAACCAAAAAATAGAGACTAATCATACCCTTCATAACAAATGAAACAAACTGCATAAAAGATACTATAATATTTCTCCATATATATGATCAAACTATTAGTCATTGATCACTCACTTAATTAAGTAACCTTGTTGCCATAATCTCTATAGCTTTTTTTTTTTAATTGAAATCTCTATAATTTAAAAAAAATGAGTTCGACATGTCAAAAACTTACATTGATGTATCCCTAAAGTGTCCAAAATGCATCAAAAATTTAGGTACGGGGGACTATACTAATTGATAGAACAAAAATTATAGAATAAGCACACTTAAATATAGTTCAAATTATTTGAAATATACATAAGTAATACTTTAAAAAAAAAATTGAGGGTGGGCACGTGTGCCCCTGGTCCTCAAGTAGCTCCGCCCTTGCACGTAGTAACGTTTTATATATAGCAACCTTCTACTACAATATATTTTAAAACCATATATATACACACAATAATGTTATATATGAGAGAGAGAGATATGTTTGTGAGAAAGAAATTTATGTGGAGAGAGAGAGAGAGAGAGAAAGAGAAAGAGAAAGAGAGAACGTACGTGAGGGAGATAGAGAGAGATTTACGTCAAATTTTTTAGACTCTATGAGAAGGAGATTCTAAACAAGAGAGAGATCTGTGTGAGATTGTTTAGGATATAGATGAAAATTTTTAGAATCTGTATTTATTTTAGGGTGCTTATTGTCTTTTCTCACCCATTTGTCCTTAATGACCCAAAAAGTATGTGCACGGACTAATTGATTCAAAGATTATAACTATGGATCGACCTTCAAAAATTCCTAATTATTAAATATTGAATACAACAAAAAGTTCAATGTGGCCCATTAAGGTCTGACTATTGGGCATCCTGATAAAGGCCCATGAAGCCTAGCGCAACGCAAAAGACAAGATATGAGCTATCGTGTGCTATATGCCATCTTTTTGAATCGTCAACAATCCAACGACCTAGACTTAAGTTGGCTAGAGTTTTTAATTCAAATTCGATTAGAATGAACATCTTACTGGTTGGATATAAATTGATATTTATATTTCAATATACTTGAAAGAAATATATAATAAAATTAAATAATTATTTAATATATTTTAGTAGAAATTAAACTTTAATTTACGAACATTATCCTTTTGTGAGTTATATGGATCGGATTCCCAGATTAAATTTTTAAAGAAAGAGTTTTGAAATGAAATTGGGATTTGAATCAACCGAAATTCAATTTAAATCCGATCCATTAACAAATTTATCTAAATTGTGCCAACGCACTTACGTAAAACTCGGCCCTCGAGTGACCATTTACAAATTTGGAAGAATTTGGGTATTATTTCATACATGGAGCTTTTGTTGAGAACGAATCACCAATGCGTTGCCCTTTTAGACCCATTCAAAGCTGTTATATGAGCAAATATATTTTGTTCGGTGCTCCATTTTTTTTTTTATTTTTATTTTTGATAAAGGACCTAATGCTCTGATTCATGGTCATTAATTATTATTGATGAGAAAAAGGCAAGGCCGTTGGGAAGACCAATGAGGAGGTCCAGAAAAAGAGAGCACAAAAGCAGTGCAAGATTATCATTGAAAGGTGGGTCGATTGTGGGGTTTTGCATTCCGTCTCGGGTGGCGCCAAATCAGCCTTTCGAAACGTTATTTTTATCCATTTTTTTATTCAATAATATTATTTGATTTTTTGTTATTAACTTAATTTATTATAGTTATGGTATGATAATGGGTTCCAATCAATAATAGACCTCAATGTCCATCCAACGACAATGCTTAATTAAATTAATAGATTAATACAATAAATTAAATACAAGTTACATCGTTCTTTATCTGTTGTAAGATAAATATTAGATTGGTCTCGTATACTAATTAAATATTCTTAAATTCCTTTATTTGTTAGGTGTGAGGCTTCCATATCATTTATACAATCAAATTTGGTTTAAATTTATTCAAACTAACAAAAATCCTTCTATAAAGGACATATATATACATAAAATAATATTAATTATTTTTAATTTTTTGTGGAGGGGAGGGGGACTTGAACCGTTGTTTTTTGGAGGGAATGAAAACTTAAACCATTGACCTCAAAAAGACAAAGTCATCATAAAAAAATGAGTATCATTGGATTAAAAGGTCCATTGATATTTTCTATTGATCACTACTAGTTTTTCAATCTTTTCATTAATATCACACTTTGCACTTTTCTATACAAATATTCTTTTACATTGAAAAAAGTAATGTTATTTGGATCTAAAAATTTGATCTAATTTGCTGACATAATAATGTGGTTTCATAGAAATCATTGAATTAACACCAAGTTCTACTATTTGATGGGATCTACACTCAATCCAAATGTTACAATGAATTAGGTCAACAAATTATGTCAATAAATTATGTAACATTGCTCAATTGAAAAACGTGAGCTTGTGCTACACTTTGGTGAAAACGATGGTTGCTTCAGAAATAAGTTAAAAGGATAATACATTGATACAAAATTACAAAAATATTGAAGAATTGAGATTGATTCTTCTATTAATATGCTATATGAGGGGTAGAACGAGATTATATCTAATGTTTGACATTATGTACATTAATTGACTACCCTCAAATTCGAACCCACATTCTCAAAATTAATGGACCTAGTCT